AGCAGACGGTAATGCCTGTTTCAGACACGGCCATACATGGTACAAAACACGTGCAGATGAAGATGGCAGCACTCGCTTGATTCCATGTCCTTCACGCATCCTTCACAGTCCATCAGGTTATGTGGCGTTTGTTGAATTGAGAAAGGGAGAGCAAAGCCACTACAGGGATGTGCGTAGATGTTCGCATTGCGTACTCTACTGGTACATGCATGATGAGGCTTTTATCCTCTTGAAAGCTGAAGTACGAAAAATGTGCCATTGGTTTTGTGCACTGTGGAGAATTTTCAAGAATTCAGGAAGATACTCATACACGTATACGGTATACGCTTAGTATATCAATTGCAAAATGCGTGGAGAGTAAGGCTGCATTTTTATAAAACCTGAAGTGAAACTTTTTAGGAGAGAGTTTTGTATCCGGCTACCCCTTTTTTTAATAAATGTTTAACCCCAACAGGTTTAAACAGCCCTTTGCAACATTTGGGGTTAGGCCAAAAAAAAAAAGTCTCCGGTTTCTGGTATGCGCGCGCGTCGCCGTAGCCATGCGCGTCGGCAAAATGAAAAAGTTTTTTTTCAATGAAAGATGATGTCTCAAAACCGCCAAACTCACTCGTTTGACTGGAATTCTGCTGCTGCACAATTCTAACGTGTTTTTAGGTGGGGTTATGGTCGAGAATAAGCTTTATGTGGCCTCTCTGGACTCCCAATCCCATATAGGCCTATTTGTACTAAGTTTAGTCGGGCACCATTTGCAGTCATCAGCCGACATTTGAAGCAAAAAAATCAGGTAAAAAAACAAAAAAAGCCGCGTCGCCGCACCACTTTTGGGGCAAGCTCCATACCAGAAACCGGAGACTTTTTTTTTTGGCCTTAGTGAAAGTGAGTTCAGTACCTTAGGGGACAGGTTTAAAAGGAAGGGCCCCTTCCCCATCCTCTGCCAAAAAAATGTTGATGGAGTTGCTTGAGACCCTCCTGGCTCTTCAATATGGCTATGTCATGTATGTGCACGATGGGATGACCGAACACTAATGCTAACCAAAATATAGCCTTAAAGGGAAAATACAACATTTGCAAACATCACAAAATAAAACTACCAAATCATTTTGAAATACCTTGCTGGACTGTTAGTGAATGACAGTGTAAAGCATCCTGTAAAATCATGGCACCTGGTATACTGTCATTTTCAAGAAAAGTGGTATTTTTGTATCAATTTCCAACGCTGATCGGCCGATCAGCGTTGGAAACAACTGGCTTTTTTTTCAAATACTGGCCCCAATTGTCCATCGCACTTGTTTGCAATCGATTACAAACCTATGAACGGGTACGAGCCAGCTAGACTGGTTCCCTGACCTTACAATTCCCCAATGTATGTGAACTGCTCTGTTTCTTCTTATATGGAGTCAGGGAACCAGACTACAGGAAAATGATCGTTTTTCTTGGTTTTTATAGCATTTTCGAACCCAAAACCTCAAAAAAGTCAGTGTAACTATATTTGCTATATATTTCCAACCCCCCAATTCCATCCATTTCTGAAAATTACAGCAAAAGCAAATGATGTATATTCCCTTTAAAAAACAACTTTTCCTCAGATACATGTAGATGATTTCATTTTTCCCAAGTAAAGATTAATGGATTTGTCTTCAATAAAAACACAAGGTGAGGTGAAACTTGTTACGTGTACGTTCGGCGGCAAATATGTGGTGACCAGATACGTAACTTTCTTGCCATTTTTTCATTCATTAGTAAAATATCCAACACTGAACTAGTGGTTGTGCATATTTGCATTTAACTGCATGTGCATACTCTATTGCCCCACATACATGAGCATGCATGCTGTTGTCGATGACTGACTGCTGGGGAGATTCTTCCAATTTGTCGAATGCTCTATAAATTTGAACGCTTAGAGGTTTTGCGCCTGGAGTAAACTGCCTCTTCTAAAGGACAAACAAAGCGCAGTGCGCATTTCCCTTCCCCCCACCTGCCCCTATACCTCACTTCCCCTGTCACCTGGTCATTAATTCTAAGGACCAGCGGCCAAAGTGCAAGAAGGAAATTCAGAGTTCTTTTTTTTTTGATGGGCAATTTCAGCTTGATGTGGTCTGTACATAATGCATGGTGAGTATCTCTCTATGCACTGATCTCCACTGGGGATTGTAAAAGCTTCCTTCTTGCAGGGACGGTGGTGAGACAACAGTGTGCAGTGCATGCATGGTGCCTTCAGCGCTCAAGAGTAAGCAAATTTGCAGGTGCTTCAGTGTGAGTGAAACAAGGGCCAGCGACAAAGATTATTTGGGCAGGGAAAAAAATTAGAATTGTATTATATTAGCCTATTTTGGCTTGCTCACTGTGACAAGGCCATGGCATAGTGTAGGCCTACTGTGTGGTTGGGATCTGCACTTCATGTGTGGTTAGCAATGCTCCATAATACTTGACACAGTCCAATTAATCCCTTTAAAATACCCTGTCCCATATTCCAAAGGTTTCCTGCCTTATTTAGACTTAGAGTGGCAGCAGATGTTTGCGTTATCAGTGTACATGTACATGTACCGGTACATGTAACGGTAGGTCTACATGTATGTTTATGTACATTTTGTAATTTGTATGTGAGGCACAGAGCTCTAGAGGGGCACTATTTTAAATCAACGAAGAATGACCCCCCCCCCCCCCCCCAATTTTTTTTTTTTTTTGAAAACCAATTGAATATTAACACGTATAGGGCCTACAAATAGCAGATTGTAAAATGAAACTGGGAATTTTCCATCTGTTCCTTGCTCTATGGTCCATCTAAGCTGATTTTGGAGTATACCGGTACATGTACAATGTACATACCGTACATTTACATGTATACGTTCATTTATTATTATTATTGTTTATCATTTCTGGTAATGAAAGCAAGGATTCCTCAAAAGCGCCCTAGGCACTGTAGCTCGCAAGCCTGAAGAAACCTGTGGAGAGAAGACAATGAGAAGAAGTTACAGTTTTAGAGGTGGGAGGAAAAGCCCAGAAGAATATTCTGGGGGGAAACCCACGGAATCAGGCAGGGACTGAAAACCCAATCCACATATTGGCCCAGGCGGGATTCGAACCCGGGTCACAGTGGTGGAAGGCAAGGAAAGTACCAGTGCCGCTACGCCAACCTGACTCTTATAATTCCGCTAGTTTGATTTGCAGTGAAAGAATATTTTGTTTAAATTTTGTGCTGCTTTAACTGTCCCATGAATCCTTTATGTATTGTATCGGTAAGATGTACAAATATAACATTGTACATTAAACTTAAGCTGTGTACAGTGCAGTAAATTGTATCTGTGGCTTGGGAAATCATAGAAAATCAATCTGATTATGCATTATAAACATTTGAAAACATATTTGCTAATGTACATTTGTGTACATGTACAGCTTACACTTGTGCACTTCGATTCAACCTTGTACGGTAGTCATTGAAAAAAAAACAAAGTGTGCTGCATACGCAAACATGTGACGCACATTTGCACACAATTAACATCTGTTTTTGACAGGATTATGCAAATTACAAATTTAGTCTGAAGTAATTTAGTCTGGTGTCATTTTTTCTTTGCCTTTGATGGTCCACCATCTGGACACACACCATTGAACATTTCATGCTAGAGTAAACCTTCAAAATTATTGTTTTTGAATACTGGTACTGGTACATGCTTTGTGCATATAAATATACATAATATGCTTACGTAAATTTTCTGCAAAAATGTAACGATAGCCTTGCCCCTCTTAATTATGTCTGGTACTCTTGAACTTTGTAAATGATTGTGATGTACCGTACATGTACTTGTACGGTATGTACCGGTACTGTATTTATTCCTCCATGATTTCACAAAGTACATACATGTACTAGTAGTCGTGTACCCATTTCAGTCTTTGATTCCTTTCATTATATTTACATTAATGTATACATGAATATTATGAAAATGGGCTTGTGATTTAAAGTTGGACCTGTACACAATGTACCGGTAGGTCATGCTACATGTACTGTGTAACTCAGATGGTACATGTATGTATGCATGTACAGGTAGTTAGTGAAAAAAAACCAAATTAAGGCCAAAAAAAATAATAAGTCGGTCTCTGGTCAGCGCGCGCGTCGATTTTAATCATGCGCATCGAACTTTTTTTTTCCAAAATGTTCCGCGGTAGCTCCAACAGCGCCCTCTATTTCCGCACCTCCTCAATTTTTTTTACCAAAGAGCACCAAGGAATGGGAAATTGCACCAAGGCAAATGATCGAAAGCACCAAGGCAAATTATGGAGGACACCAATGTACATGAGGACACCAAAAAAGCAAAATAGTACCCCACCTTGTACAATCCAAGCTAGAAGAAAAAAAAAAAAGCCGCGTGGCCGCGTCAATTCCGGAACTTTGGTCTGACCAGGGACCGAATATTTTTTTTTGTTGGCCTAATACAAAATTGTTTCATTTGACAAGAGGATATTTTGCACAAGGGGATATTTTTGGCTCCTGTTTGAAATGATGATCTTACCGGTATAATAACACGTGACTGATACATGTACATGTACATGTATTTACATCAACATCTGCACAAATTCATACATGTCTTAATTCTATCTACATGTAATTTGGGTAATTATGTGTTCCAAACTCAAAGAACACTTGAGGCTGAATCTCAGATACATGAGGAAGTGCAGTATCAACTATCATTGCTGCTAAATATCACGTCTAACAAGAGTGCACATATGAAATTCTAGGAATGTACCAGGGGAGTTCAAGCCCACATGGTATTCCGGCAGGCAATGTGTTAAAGTGTTCAGTGTCACTTCCACTCTGACGGAGCGTGGCCCCTGATGGACGCCTTTTGATGGGCCACAATAATCTTCCTCAACGCTCCAGATGGTTTTGTCTTTCTCTCCTTACAATCTGTGAATGGAAAGTATTGCAGACATGCGTTTGTTTGGTATCGCTTTTTATTTATTTGACGGGAGGGTTAATAACATTTTTTTTTTGTGGTTCACCGCAGGTCAGAGGATGAAGAAAAACAACGGGATTCAAGAAGATTTGAAGGTAAGAGTTTGAAATTCAATAATAAAAGCTATATTGCTTGTAAAAGCTTTCTGTCAAAAAGAAATTATAATTTCTTGACAGGATAAAAGACTTGAGAGGTTCATGTACATGTATGTAATGCACAGCCTTACATGTAGATATGATTACTGGCCATTATGGTCAAAATTGACAGTTGAGCATAAAATGTATTAATGTGTAGAACATAAAAGGAATTAATTGTGACACTCAGTTGATGATTCTGCACTCAATTGACGATTCTGAATCTTGCATGCCAAGCAGTTAAAGGGGCACTGCGTCCTGAAATCCCCGAAAATGTCATGTTTTGGATTGTTTACTTATCCTATTGCAAACAACTGGTTGAAAGGAAACCAACCTAATGTCTTACCGCTCCCGAGAAAAGACGACGAAAAAAACCTGATTGTTTACATCGAACACGACGGAGTATAATACGTGTTTCCTGTCGTTTTCATACAATGTATGATACACGTTGTGTGTGTCTAGTATTACATACATGCACAGCACCGTGCTCACGAACAGCGGTGACCAATCGCCAATGCACAAAATGTGATTTCTAACACGTCCCGCAAAAGGCGAACCCTTGCGGCTAGAATCACAACTAGCACAAACAGCCCGACTTTTTAGGGTCGCAAAAGTAAACCCCGAAAGTCGTTCTCACATGAATAACACAAGAATACTACAAAAGCGCCCTGTTTTTAAAGGATACCGGTAGTTGTGTGGATGTTTGTATCCTACTTTTAAATGTTCTTTCAGATTAACATCATTTCGTTCAAAACACGTTTTGTAGCCCAATTGGGCGTATTCAGGACGCAGTGTCCCTTTACATGTGAGTGTAGACAAAAGCATGCAGTTTTAGCAAAGTTTGCAAAAAGGATGAAAAGATGCTATTTCTGTATTCTGGATGTATTCAGCCCATCTTTTTTTCATGAGACGTTAATTTGTTTTTATTTATTTTTAATTTTTTTATTTTCTTTTATTTTTTTATATTTTTTTGTAATTTTTCTTTTTTTTGTGGGAGGGGAGGAGATTGCCTGAACCTTTTAAAACTTGAACAAAAAGGAGGGGTTTTTTTTTGGGGGGGGGGGGGTTGAGGAGGTGTTAGCTTGCAAACATGTACATGTACACATGTATTAGTTTTGACAAATAAATCCCAGTCCATACATGTAGTTGTACTTGTAGGCCTACATAAAATACATACTTGTACATGTTCCCATGTACATTCAGTGTTTAACAATGCGTACCTACCGGTAAAAGAAACATTTTAGAAAAAAAGATGAAATAACAGCTTTGGGGGGGGGGGGGGGGGGGAGGGAGGCAACAGAAGTCTACATATTTTTGCAGATCTATCCCAGTTCTTCTCTAAGTGTTGTACAACTTACATACCGGTACATACATGTACATTGTACAATGTACACAACAAAAAGAATTTGGTGACATTGTTTAAAAAAAAAAAAAAACTGACATTTTGAAATCTATGACATGTACAAAGTCTTGTACCCATACATGTATGTGATGGCATGCCATACTATACATGTACTTGGCCATTTACAAAGACATGTTTATCATTTTTGCATGGGGTGCACTGTACTTTGATGACTTATTTCTGTAGGTACAAAGGTGACTCAAATCTATAATGTGCATTATGCACAGACTTCATGGACTCCGACTCAAGTGCATGCCAACAAATGCCAACGTAGATCTGTTGTCAGATAATGCACGTGACGTCAATGCAGCAATAGTAACCATCTAATTTTAACTTTCAAAGATTACTCTGTTCGTTTACTGCAAAAGCACAAGTACTACCGTACAAAATGTATATATTTCATGTACATGTACATATGTACGAACATGTTTTGAAAACAAATGTGCACAACACTGCAATAGAAATGTTTAAGCAGATCTATACATGTAGTTTAAATTGTACATACATGAAGACCTTACATGTACTAGTGTCAAAAAATAATAATGTGAATGTTGCCACTTGTTATTTTTAAATTCACCATCTTAAACTTACATGTACATGTATGTGGCATGTCACATGTGTATGTACATTTACATGTATATGTACATGTATTGTAACGTGTGTACGAAGTAGATGATGTACATGTACACCTGCATGGGCTCTTACCTTATTTAAACATGTACAATATGTAGATTCAAGTACTTGTCAATACTTCCTTCAGGAAGTGATAAGCACCCCAGTTGAATCTTTGATTAATTAGCCCAAGGTTAATAAATTACTCCCTGTTTGCATTCTGTACCGCTGAGCGTGCCCTAGGCACCGATTCTTGGGCAACAGGTTGCCATTGAGTGCCGGACAAGCATGGACGCAATTAGTAGTCATTTAATACAGGTGTGTACCCATCCATGTAAGTGAGTCACCGCATCGGCATTAGGGTTGCCCTCCTCCAATTGGCGTGGTGTTGTGGTACGTGATAGTATCACTGATTTGCAGTTTGTTTCCAAGAACTGTACCAACGAGTTGTGCCTTTTCAGTCAGTGGTTCAACTCTTCCATGTGAAAGGATTGTGCTCAACAGATGAGGAATATTTACGTTGTGAGCATTGGATTCTGAGTAATATTTATACATCTCTTCCTGACTGAAGTGTTTCATTCAGTGAGACTGTGGCTGCCAACCCTTCATCATTTCAGTGGTGTATTTCATGAACTGTTACATGTAAAATAGTTACAATGTACGTGTACTTCACAGTTGAATATGGTAAGTGCGTATTTTTTGTTTTACACTTTATGGTGTACGTATGTATGTACAGTATGTAAATGTATGTACCGGTACATTGTTCCACTGACTATCAAAGACTGGAATAAACTCCCCCAATCCACCATAAGCAAACCCACCAATAAATCCTTCAAACAGAGCATTTCCCCCTTTCTTTAAATAGTCTTGTGACCACCCGCCTCCTGTTAAAACTTCCCTGCAGAGTCCTATGGAGGAGAACCTACCAAGTGCAGTACATTGACCATAATTTTTAACTCCCTATGCAAATTGGCTGGGAATATTTGTCAAGTTTGTGAATCCTTAAAAAATCACAACTCTTCGACAGAGGCCCATTTTTTAGTTCTTAAACTGTGCCGGTATGGACATGTACATTTTTACTACATGGACATGTACATGTCCATGTATACTACATGGACATGTACATGTACACTACTACATACATGTACTTACCGGTATGAACAGGTCTAAATCAATTCATTCAAAATAAAAATAAAAACTCCTCGTGTGAAATTTGAAGGGTTTTTGAAGGAGTTTAATCCTTGTCCAACATTAGTTAAATAAACAGTTTTGCCATATGTACCGGTACATGTACGTAAATTAAAACAATTGTTAAACAGTAATGTACCAGGTATGTATGCAGTTTGCTACATCTTGCCATAAGGCTGTCTATACTATACATGTAGATCCCCAGTGTCCACACAAAATTGACTGACTAGTAATGAGCACTGCAATGGCAAGCTCCTCATTAACTGGCCGTTATTTACCAATTATTCCTGCACCACTGAGCCACGTTCTCATACATGTACGTCCCTCCGATATACTATGCGTATTATGATGCGCATCTGTATACATGTATGTACGTACATTAATACACAACGCTCTGTTGTTTGCCAGAATATTCAAGGTTAGGCGATATTATTAGACATAATGTTTTCCATCAACTTTATAGATCCACGTGCATTTTCCCTGGGATACAGCTGCCTGACCACCTGCCCCATGTGGTTGGCAGACTTCCCACAATGCATGCATGCATTTAACGCTCCGCAGTGTCTATGTGGCGTAACTCGGTGGTTTTTGCTATGTGAATAGAACACTAGCTTCTGAGTTCGAACCAGTGTTGCCTCATTAAAAAAAAAAAATTAGGTCGCTCTACCTGTATACTATTATTTTTTTGAGTCTCAACCTGAAAAACTGATTTGTTTTTATTGTTTTTTCCAGGACATCAAAAGTAAATTAATTTTGAATAAAAAATCAACGAAAAACCAAAATCTGCCTATGTTCAATTAAATGGAATATATGGTTTAACCCTCCTGCTGTCTGAACAGCCACAGGCAGTCAAAAAAAAAATCCTCTCCCCCTGCCATGCCTTAATAGGCTCATCACCAACAGTCAGATCGTACACGTACATGTAACAGGCACTGTGACTAGTCAAATTCAGTCAACCAACAAAAGCAGGCAAGTAGTAGGCACAACTGGCTAATCAATCACCTACATGTACAGTCAAAGGATAGCTGTATCAAGTTACATGTACATAAACAGTCACAGCTTAGACAGCTACCATAGTCAATCCTGCTTTACAATGTATGTAGGCTGGGAGCTGTTAACTGTTAAAAAAAAACAGTCACTTGACTGATTTTGCCTGCAATGACAACTTTGCACAGGGTGTATATTTGCATAGGAGGGTTAAGAATATCAAATTAACCCGACAATAATAAAGTATATATAAGGGATGAGGCAATAAAAGGGATAATGCAAAGGTCTCCTAATGACCTTCTTTTCTTCAGAGGGTAGCAGATGCCCCTAAAAAAAAAATATAAAAAAAAGAGACCTATTTAAAAACAAAACACAAATTGAAAATTTGTTAGGAAAAAACCTTAAAAAAAACCTGCAAATGTAGCGAAGAGTACAGGGAGAGCACCATCTACATGTAGGTATTCATATGATGCTATCGGTATTTACTAACCGCAAGTATCCGGTGCATGTACCGGGTACATTTCATGCAAAGGTTCACATCATGTACGGTATGTAATTTTTCATTGTGCAATGAAGCATTCATTATTTGTGCCTTTGTGATTTGTGAATGGCCATTGTTAGGGAGGCGGTTGGAGCCTATGACTCATTTTGTGAGGTTTTTATTTTTTAATAATCTATGAAATTAATTACATGTACATATCAACATGTACATGTGCATTGTCTACAAACCCAACTGCTCATGGTGCAAATATGCAGGATGCAAAAAAAAATA